GTGTTTGCGCCGTGCATCCGTCCAGGGCCCAGGCACAGTACCGCGGGCCAAACCCACCACCAGGACTCCGGCCCAGATGACGATTATGGTGCTGGCAACAATTTTCTGCCTCTGGAACGTTGATGCTTCCCGCCAAATTGAAAACGGATCCATTCAGGCGCTACAGCGTCGCAGCATGAGCGCCACCACGCCGGTGGGGTGTGCTGAGCGCCACGCTTCCCTCCAGCCGCTCCTCACTGTCCACAGCGGAAGGCAGAATGGCTGGAGCCTGTGATCAATATGAGTATCAAGATTACAATCCAGCACGGAGGGGGGCCAGAGCGGGGCTCGAGCGGCACACACTAGCTGAGATCAACGAGATTAGTAGGATCTACGACATTTGAAAAAATTTTGGGCACTTGCCACAATGATTTTAGGAGGATGCACGCCGCATGTATGTGATAAGATCGCGACGTGACCGGGAACGTCACTTGGTCCGCGCCAAGCGTTTGGTGTGACAAAGTACCGCAAGCATACCACGCGCGACGCGCAAACCATTCCGAGGTGGCCTCCATCTAGCTTGCAAGGCCGTTGCAGGAATGGGTGCTGATGCGGGCACAGCGGGTGGTTCGGGCGCCCGGGGCCAGCTGCGTGTGCTCAAAGCGCTCGCCGAGGCGCTGTGGCCGTCGCAGCCCGCGCCGCCGGGGGCCGACGCGGCAATGGAGCGCTTCTATTCGCTGTCGGGAGGGGCTCTGCCGACGGTGCCAGAGCAGGTGTGCCGGATCGACTGATGAGGCTCGAGCCCCGAAGCGCACGTTTGATGTGTTCCTCGTCGTTTGGCATTCAGCGGCCTGGAAATGATGCCCAGCAGCCGTTGGTCTGCCTACATCAGTGCATCCTCTGTCAGAGAATTAATTTTCCACCCCTCCCTTTTGCTTTGGGTATGTGCAATCTTGACCTGCGCGCGTGGCGTGCTGTAGGGACCATGCTTAGCCTGTCGTCGGCCAACCGCCCTTCCCCGCCCGTCTGCGCCCCCGTCCCCTGCCCCGTTGCTCCTCAGGCGCTCAAGGCAATTGACCAAAAGCTGATGGGAGTTAATCGGCTGGCGTTGCTGCTGTGAGCAAAAGCAGCTGGCAGTTGACCCGGCTTGGGTTGTGGGCAACGCCAGGGTCAATGGGAGGGAGAGGGGGCCACTGCAGCAATCCCTCAAACCGTTGCGTTGAACTAGTATTTGCGAGCGCAGGCGGCCGCTTCGCCTCTGCTTCCTCGTCTCATCCCCTATCCCCTCTCCACGCGCCCTCACAACGAACCCACCACTAAAAGGGTCCTGCGGCTGCTCAACTGGCGCCTGATAACGCTTCTACTGGCCGGCCGCCACTGCCTGTCGCCGCGGTTCCCCTTCCTCCCGCTCCCCTTCCCACAAATGTGCGTCGCCGCCCGGCAGGCCACTCTGCTGTCGTGGCGCCACTCGTGGCTCGGCAGCCTCAAGGCGGTGGGTGGCGCGGCCCACTGTGCAGGGACCAGCCGAGGGCGGCTTCCTGGTTCGGGCCGTGAAATGAGCGCTTGTGCACAACAGGCACGGTCAAACGCCTCAGTCAAACATGCCAGTCGAATGCCCCCATATAACGTACCTTTCCAATTGATGCCGAATGGCAGCGGCAGCACTTGGAAGAAGCTGTTGTGACGCAGCGGCCCACATGCACTCACAGCACCGCCCGCCTCACCTCGCCCACACGCCCGAGCCGAGCCCTTCCCGCATCATTGGATCGCCACAACCAACCACACACCCAAAATCATACAGGTCTTCAAGGCCCTTAAGTCCATAATCGTAGCCGTCATCCTGGCGAACATAGACGACGCCACCGGCACCAACCCGTTTTTTGAGGCGGTGCGCTACCCCGCCGGCCAGGCACCCCGCCCC